GATTTAAAAAATAGTTGTATGTATTGATTTGAATTTACATTAATTGACCAATCAGAATCGAGTATTCAACTAAGCCATGTAATAAAGCTCAATAAATAACAAAGAAGACCTCTGACCGGCACTTTCTAATTTTGTACGGAAGATTTAAACTTTAACGGACATCTTGACCGGCGAAAAAAAATGTTATCGGAAACTCTGCCGCACGGTTCCCTCGTCCCTTGGAAGAGGCGGAGAGGTGGGTGTTTTTCATCTGCTGGTGGACTAACCGGAGAGATATATATGAAGAACAAGAAGAAAACACAACAAAACAAACAAAATACAAGAAAAGAAAAAAGTTAGTATGGTGATTTCAGATAACACACAGGAGCTAGAAGACCCACCTGCCTCGTTTAAATCAGCTGTGTTGGAACATTTCGGGTTCCCTGTGGACTACAATAACGATGGAGTGTGGGTGGTGGATCGGACGAGGACGGTGTGTCGGCGTTGTTTGACAGCGGTGCGGTATGCTAATGGTAACACACGCCAAACATGCTAAATCATATCAGAAGGCATCATCCAGATTTGCCAATCACCGGAGCCCGGCGAAAGACAACAGCAGTTCAACAGCTTATCCCCGCTGTTTTTAAGAAGCCAATAGACATGAAAGCCGAGAGACCAAAATAAATAACGGAAGCTATTGGCATATTTCGACGGCAATGCGCCCTGGAAACACTTTCTTATTATTTATTTTGTAATATTTTCAAAACATTCTTTTTAGTTTTACAGCTTAATGAAACCTTTTTGTTTGACATCAGCCATTATAGATAATATGGCCATCTACTGTTTGTGGTTTGTTTTTCACTGTGTAATACAGTTAATTATTCAAAATGTTAGAGTTCCTTATTTGTATACTTAAACTTGCACTACTGTTCAAAAATAAATAACACCAAACCTGGAATTATGCATTTGGGACTTTTTTTTGCTTTTTCTTGTTGTACCGAACCCGTACCGAACCGTGACCCCCAAACCGAGATACGTACCGAACCGTGAATTCTGTGAACCGTTACACCCCTATGTTTGACACAAAAAACGAAAGATTCAATATACTCAAAATGAATGTTAGACAAGGCAAAGTCTATCACAAGTTATTTTACAAATGAGTGCATGTGTGATATCCTACTGTTGTTGTAAATCATTCAGCTGAATTCACACCTTGGAAACTCTAATGCAACCACGTACACATCACTGCCCCTTAAATGGAATATGATGCCTATTATCAGTTTATCAACGAGACACTGGATGCATTTGGGGGCCATTATGGGGCAAACGGACACCGAGGCTGGAAGAAAATCCAGACGCACTCCAGCTAAAACAGTCCATAATGTAAAAAGAAACACGAGGAGACAACAAACACCTAAGTTAAAAACTAATGCGATGTGAGTATATAAAGGGGAATACATCCAGCCATTGTCTATGCTAGCATGCTTAGGCTAACACAGAAAACACATCTCATGGAATCTAGAGAGTAGAAATAAGTATTCACAACTACCTGATCGAAAGATGTAAATGTTATGGATATTTACAGATGCTTTTCATTAACTTGTAAATAATATTCTTTTGATTTCACAAATCTTTAGTTTGCATTTGTAAAGGTGTTAACACGGATTGACAATCTGTCCACACAAGTAATATTGAGACAAATCTACCTCCATATCCAAATACAGCATGTATTGATGTACTAATATTGTTTTATGGCCAAAAGCCTGATAACATTACCATCTAAGGCTGTGATTTGCACCAATAATGTAACTTCCCTGAGGTCAAAACACAGGTACAAATATTGAGGTGTTATGTAGATGAGGTGTGTCTGGTTCACTGCGCTAACTGAAGTCCGGTCGTATCACATATGCTGCTGGACAGTTAGTTGGATAATCTGCATGAGAGTTCTCAGCTCCGAGCCAACGAGAGGCAGAAAGGCTTCGAAATATCATTTATCCAAAGCTGAATACACACGGGCAAAAAGGATCGGTGCAAACATGAAGAGGCAAAGTGCAGATGGGCACGAGAGCCTTGATTGAAAGAAAGATCACTCTGATGTGGAAAAGATGTTGAAAAAGGTCAGATAGAAAGAGTTTTTTACAGTGATGTAGTGTTGGAGGATAGAGTGAGTGGGCAGCAGCCAAGACTGTGTTTGCTTTTCTCTCCGTCCATGAGAGCTAATGTAAGAGCACGGAAGCAAACAGAGAAATGGATTCGTGACGGCAGGTTGGCAGCCACAAACTCTCTGGGCAGCTCGACTGCATACCAGCACAAGGGAAATGTGACATCATTGATTTTAGATTTGTTTTAAGTTCAAATTTTTACCAACTCTGCCCATCTGAAACCAACTTATTGGAAGATTTATGGCGCAGTGACAAAGCAGGTGTATAGCCGCCGCGAAATTGATTGCTTTGTCATGAGTTTATGTAAGGTGTGTTGGCGAACACTGCTCTGCGGTGTGGAGCTGTGAGTCTGCTGGTTGGAAAAAAGAACGAACAGCTTTCTCACCCTCCCACTCCTCCTCCTGCACTCCTACCGCCATTTGCTGCTGACCTCCAGAGGCCGAGCATACATTCCTTTAGCTGCCCTCTCCAGAGACACATCTTCCTCCATCTCCTCTTTCCTCAGGTTAACTATCTCACCAACAGCCACATCTTATTTTACATCATCATTTAAAGATGTTTTTTGTGGCTAAGAGACACAACAAGCTGTCCTCTTTGTTTCCCCCTCGTCTCTTTCAGCTTAGCCTCTCCACCTGGCATACAAACAATCGTCCATCTTCCTCAACTTTCACTCTGAGGTTAACAGACAGCTGAAATCTTACTTTTTCGACTAATCTTATACGAAACAGACATTTGCTACAAAAAGGGGAAAAACAAGAAGACATCCAATGCTTTCTGACCGGATTCAAGACGTATTCACAGGTGGTTTGAAATGCAATTCAAATCCAATATCTGCCAATGCAACACAGCCCAAACCCTCGGATCATATTGCAAGTGTTTGATTATTTTTTTCTCTTTAACTTCCCAAAGGACACATACAGTATTTCACAGAGCAAAGAGTACAGAAAGATATATAGGAACGAGTCAAACATGGTATGCACCACAATTAAGTGTCGTCAAATTCATCTACTAGTGCATTTGATATCCAACTTATAAATGCCTACAAGAAACATAAGATCACCTTAAGATCACCTTAAGATCACCTAAAATACAAGTAAGTATTGAACTTCATTATATTTCAAGTTTCATCAAGTAAGAACAAAAGTCAGATGAACAGGTCCTGATTTAGTAAAAGAGTGGACAATAATTAGCGGGCAGAGCAGAAGCTGCTGGTGTGTCCGTGGACATTAAAGGGCAGAGCTCCATATACTGTGACACAATGAACACAGTGGGCACTCTGAAAATACATACACGTTTCATGCTTTAATTTGCTGTCAAATTGGCAGGTTATTTGAATCAAGTAGCCTTATATTGTTGCACCTGCTGCAGTGTCTGTTCAATCTTGAAATCGAAGCACATCAGTGACATGAAAGAGACAAATTAATGGAGGTCTGAAACGCTTTTTTTTAATTCTGCTAGCATACATTTGACTCTAGTCCAGATGCATCGTTACAGTGACATCTGATTTTGTAATGAAAGTGCCATCTAATGCTGCCTTTCAATGGAACCTGTCAGCTTGTTGTTACATATTGGGAAGTTGTGCACACGACATGCTTGGCCTTCAAGTTGTACGTCGGTAGAATAACGCGGCCAAATTGTTCTGCCGGTTTAGAAGCCACGAAGGCTAACAATTTAGCAAGCTAGCAAGCGTGTAAGTTCACTCAGAAAATGCAAAGGCATAATGACAGAGAAAAAAATATAAGGCCATTTGGAGTACTAACATATTCCTATTTTATATATACATACCCATTTATTACGAACTAAAAACGCTTCCATGGCCTGCACCGTTTCTTTAGAGCTGCACCAAACATGTCAATCGTGATCTTAGCTTTCAGGAAATGTTTGCTCACGAGGTTCAGAGTACCACATTTGGTGGACGTCATACAGATCTTTGGGTGGGGAATTCTTACACAAGTATTTTTAAGAAGGTGGGGGTCTGCCCTTGCCATATGCTCAAGCCCTAAGGCTTGATGCTGGAAAACCGGAGGTGCTTCTCATGAACAACAGACTGAGGAGCCTCTAGGAAAACACTGAGCTTGCTTTCAGCTAGAAGCCGAGCAGATTTACATATTTGAACTACCAGAACTACCACTGCTGGCACTGATAGGAATGCATGTACGCACATAAACTTGTAACACTTGAATTTACAAGAACACATACAAAAATATGAATTACTCTCTAAAGCATGTGTTTTTGTCGGCATACATGCATACAGATGGTCTATTAGGCCTGACACGATGGGATATATATAATAAATCCAAAGTCCCATATCCATGATAACCAAAAGCCACAGTAACCATGACAGCTGCAGTAACCGTCCTTTCTTTCAGTCTCATCACAATGTTTTGTCTGCCAGGCATGCACATTTTAGATTCTTCACATTCAGAACTTGAAACCATCAGAGAGAAGAAACTGATATCTTGAAAGTGATACCCAGAGAAATCATGGGAAAAATCAATAAATGCCATTGTGTCAAAAGCCCCAACTAATTACTACTATAGTAGTAGTGTGTCCAACATGTATATGGTTCGTGGACTTGGCTTGAACCTCAAACACACTCATTCGCTGACTAATCTGAAAACATCGACACAAAAGAATCTGAAACATATATTTTTTTTAAATTGAAAGGCTTAATTGATGCCAAAGAAACAAACTTTAATAGTGTGTTGGATTGCTAATGATTCATATCATTTAATTTCTTAGTTTTTCTTGGAAGGCTTATTTGCTTTGACTCTGTATGTATCCTTAGGTGGTGTCAATAAGTATGCGGTCATTGTGTCATAATAAGAACATTCAAAATAATTGAATAAACCCACTCACCCTCGGTTGCCAGTTTTCATATTGCTTCTGCAGATTGGCCCCTATGGTCTCCAGGGCCTTCTGTGGACTCATGGACAGAGGGTCTGGCAAGAAAACACAGAGTAAAAACATGAATTCACACAAAGCAAACGGGTCAAAGTCACACACTCAATCTGAACCAAACACCTGGAAGAGATGCATGTTGTTTCTGATGTAAATGCTTACAGGAGTAGCGTGGTCTTGGTGATGCTTTATTTTGCCATTAAAGTTGCAGCTTATCTAAATGATTCAGCTTTATACTGCTGCACCAGCCGAATGTTGAAATATAAGAGTATTGGTAAAATGAAACAAACGATGAACCTCTGAAACGATCTAAAAAATACTGCTGATGTATTTGCTTTACTGTATGTATCATTAAGTGGTGAACATTGGATTTTGTTTTAAGAACATCCAAGAAAGGCAGAAATCAAACCTGAAGCAAGAAAATCTCCAGGAAATCTATTATTCACATTAAACAGGCTCTCTATAATATCCAATAAAATGCGTTAATCAAAAATAATAGGCGTTCAAGTACTGCAATTTTATGTACTGCAAAAAAATGTATTTGCAGATCCCAATTTACTGATGGCATAAGTAATAGTAATTCATATTTAATGCTTATTGGTGTGTGTTCTGTATACTATGACAGCTTTTCTAAATTTGATTAAGGAAAACCCTAAATTACTCAATTAACCCAGATTTATCACATAACCAAGTTTTAGCAAAGGTTGTTCCCGTAATAGCAGCGAGGATGTTTATCTCCCCCTAAAATACAAGTTAATACTAGTATTTCAAACTTGTGATTGATCATGATCAGTCATAGATTTTAATTGTCGGTTGACAGCACTAATTAAATGATAACCCGTGTATCATGATATAAATCACATGTTACCAATACACATCCCTACCAAACAAGCAGATTCATTTCACAGGCAGAGACACTTTCCTGCATAATGGCAGAGGTTAGTAATGATTGCAGCATCAAAGGATTTTACTGTTATAATAAAAGCAGAGTATGGAAAAGAAAAAGCAGCAGCACCTCAGGTTTAAATATTGATTAGAGTAAATCAATATGGCATGAAGAATAGCAAAATATAGATTGAAGACGGCTACAATTGCGCTCAGCAGGCAGAGAAGATGTATTGCAAGCCTGCAGGAGATACTGATATGCTTTATGCAAGGTTATTAGTGGTTCCTAGAGTCTCCAAAAGTACAATGGGAGCCAGAGGCTTCAGCTCTCCAGCTCCTCTTCTGTGGGACCAGCTTCCGGTTTGTGGGGGCAGAAACCCATGGACCCGGCAGGAGGACCACGGCACCTACCACAGCCACCCCCATGATAAAGACTTGAATACTGGTCAGTGGTCACCTGCCAGGTGAGAGACAGAAAAACTACAATAACTAAAACTCTGGGGATGACGGCCCGGATGCTGAGTAACATGCATCTATGGGAAAGCACTGTATACAATAGAGAAAAACAGAAGTAGGACAAGAGAGGTGAAAGACTCAACTCAGCAAGCCTGAGCCAGCCCTAACTATAAGTTTTATGAAAGTCTTAAGCCTGCTCCTAAATATGGAGACGGTGTCTGCCTCCATACCAGGAGCTGATCCCACAGAAAGGTAGCTTGGCTCTGGCTCCCATTGTACTTTTAGAGACTGTAAGCGTAAAGAGCTTATATTATGAGCTCTTTAAGATATGATGGTGCCTGGCCATTAAGGACTTTGTAGGCGAGAAGAAGACCTTTCAATTATATTCTGTGTTCCATAGGGAGCCAGTGCAGAGGAAATACAGGAGTACAATGAGTAAGATAAACCAAAAGAAATGCAGCATTTAAGTGTTTTTGGGATCAACAAAGTTTTTGTTCTGTAAATCAAATGGCTATTGTGTAATTGGAAAGGTGCCCACCACACACACCATGCTCAATGAAATGCAGATGTCAGTCATTTTTAAGCAGCTAGACGCTGCAATTGTCATACATCAAACACCTGTTGTATTTAAAGACCTCAACTCTGCCTTTACTTTTTAATATTCCAAAACACTGTCTCAAAAACTGAGTGGCAGGTCTGCACAGTGTCAGTGTCCCGGGCAGGAAGTTTCAGAAATTGTATTTAACCGTGTTCTCCCTTTAATGTGCTCTCCTCACTTCACACAGTCAGGAAGTCTCAGCGGAGCTAAGAAATGGTTTGGAGGTTCGCTCTCGATGGAGACGTTTCTTCTTCTGTTGTTCGTGTCATTTGGTTTGGTTCAGGTGGGGGGGGGGGGGGGGGGGGTTTCAGCAGTTTAGGTTTGACCTTTTAACCCAACTTTATGGTCAATATACTTCCTTTAAAGACAATTATTCATAACTTGACTTCATTCAAATATAGTAAATATCAGATGAAAATATCTTGACTATCACTGGTATATGTCTAAATGTTGTCATGATTCTGTTGTGAAAACATTTCAAATGTTGAATCTAATGATTATAATCTTTTCCTGTGAAGAACGTAGTGTGGAACTATCCATGTTATTTTTAAGGAATTCGATGAAATAGCCCCTTATTCTGACATTAAACATTTTTTTTTAGAAACGGTCAAATTGGACCCGAGGACGACAGGAAGATGAAATGCTACAAAGTCAAAGCTAAACTTTTTGGAGTTGTCACTATCCTTGTATGGCTTACCACTACGTAATTACCTTTTGACCCATGGCTTTTCTGTTGTGTTAAACACTTACAGGCTGTTGGTCCAGTCCCTACATGTTGACACTTGGCATGCCTGATATTGTTTTCCTTCGGGCAGGGCCGGTGCTAGACATTTTGGTGCCCTAGGCGAGATTATGATTTGGAAAAAAACAAAAATAAAATACGTTACATTTATTTGTTATTGGCTATGGTAGATAGCCAATAACAAATAAATGTAACGTATTTTATTTTTGTTGTTCATTCATATCTTATTTTACCTAGTTAACATTTATTTATTCATGCATTTTTTTTTATATCTCCAGTTTTAAACGATATTTTTGGTTATTGTCCTATAGCAGGGGTACTCAAATACAAATCTTAAAGGTCCAAAAAAACACAACACATCTTCAACAAACTCCCCCTTTGCCTCATCATAAAAACTCACAAACACCAGCAACTGAGCATTGTCAGTGGACTCATCCACAGCTAAGGAAATGCACTGTGCATTTTTTATTCCATCACAAAGCTGATTAATCAAATCACCAGCCAGTATTTATGTTCTTCTGGTTGCTGTGGAATCTGAGAGGGGGATTTGCTTGATTTGACCTGTTATTTCCTCTTTTTGTTTGCCTTCAAACATGGTCTCCATCACTTCAGTGTCCGATGAGCCACAACTTTTCTTTCAAAACAAAGCTGCCAACTGGGGTGGCAAGGCCTATTTTTAGGGTGGCAGTTGCCACCCCATGCCACCCCGGTAGGTGAAACTAGGCTACTAGCTACAGTACAGATGCAACTAGATGAGCTGTTAACTCTCGCTCTGACTGTTTGTTTTTTTTAAACACACACGCATTTTTCCCACCCGCATTCCGCGAAGACCCGCCCTACTGTGCCTCTGATTCGCAGACTGTTGGTGGGGGAAAGAACCGCTGACGGGATGCTGAATGTGATTGGACCAATGCGTTGACAGACACACACAGACAGTGGAACAGTCGTACATGCAGAGCGCTGTTTGCAGTGGACATAGCGGAGAATGTTGACTCGTTGACTCGTTGCGTTGTGGCGATGTCTCGCAGATAACACAGATAATACAGATAATACATATGAAAAGTATAATTTGCTCAGAGTCCAGAGACAGTTGTGGTTCGGTCCGGATCGGAGTCCGGACTTTGAGGATGCCTGTCCTATAGTATACATTGGAATGATTTCAAACCTGTTGTTATTTATCCTAATAATTATAAAGGTGTGCCTTGGAAATACTTGTTTACATAAATTGTGACCAAACCGTTTGAGACCCACTGAGATAACTTAGACTAAAGCAGTGGTTCTCAAACTTTTTCTGTCATTCCCCACTGTTCCTCATCGCTCCAATAAAATGGTAGGCCAAGCTTAAAATTGTCAAATGTATCATTCTATAACAGGTGTCTCCAACCTTTTTTAGAATGAGAGCTATATGAGAGCTGTTTTTTGCAGTGTATATATTTAGCACATTTTAACATTATTATATGCTTACCTTTAACCTTTGTGTGCTGTTTGGGTCTGTGGGACCCGTTTTCAGTGTTTACTAAAAGAAAATGTATTCAATTTAATTATTTTAACCTGCTTTATTTGGGGGTGGACCTCACCTCCTCTAGGGGGGTCCGGGGGCATGCACCCCCGTGAAGATTTTTTTTTGTCAACTATATTTAAAATGAGTTACCTTTTAGAGAAGTGATTATATTTGTATGCCAATATTTTCTTATGGTAAAGTTTTCGTTTTGCACTTTTATTTTGATAGTAATAAGATTGGGACTCTTATTTTTGAAGGAACTTTTACCGGAAGTCAATGGGCAACGGAGCAGTGTAAACACATGTATAATGACGGATAGATGACGAATAAATTAACATATACTACAATTATTATAGTAAATGCATAAATTCTATCAATAAAGACTAAGCCCCAGAAAGCACATGGCTACTTAGCATGCAAAATGGACATTCTGCATGTTAAGTAGCCATGTGCTTTCGTGTTATCGGCTAAATCTTTATTTATTGATTAGATCACGTTACTCTGACGATAGTGTTCAAGACAGTCTATATGTCTGAACTCGATGTTTAGAGTAATGTGTTACGGAGCCTTCTCGTCAATCTTTTTTCCACATAACGAGCATTTTGCGCTGCTCTTTTCCAATGTGGAAGCAGAATGTGTGAAAGCACACAGCACGATGCAGGGTGTGTCTCTAGACATCTTTAGACTGGAATAGCGGGGCCCAGTACGTGAACTCGCCTCGCCGGTGCACACGCCAGGATAGAGGACATGAGACTCCAGAGAAAACTTGCTTGAGTCCGAGTCCAAGTCGGAGTGTCAATGTACAAGTCAAGTCCGAGTCATTGTGGGGGGAAAAATTCACGAGTCCGAGTCCAAGTCACCGTACGCGAGAATTCACGAGTCCGAGTCCAAGTCGCGTCAATCAGTGCGTTAGTCCGAGTCGAGTCACGGAAGCTGTAGTTATCAGCCTCAATCCAACAACAATCCGCGGTACCGATGCGCGCCCTCTCTCTCTTGCTCGCTCGGAGGCTCGCTCGCACTTTGGCTGTGAGCTGCAGGCACCTGATAAGTCAACATCCCCCACTTTCATCACTTACAGCGCCCATCGTACAGGGCAAATGCAAAATGTTGCCGGCCCGGGGTGCAAAGGGTGTTTACTTTATTCAATTATTAATGTAAATGTATTACATCAAGGGCAGAAAATTAGGCAGAATAAAAAAAAATTATAATAATTTTAATTTAAAAAAAAAAAGATCTCCCAGCGCAGCGCCCCTCCAGATCTGGCGCCCTAGGCGACCGCCTAGGGCCGGCCCTGCCTTCGGGTAAGATGGACCACTCAGACACCTAAAGGAGAGTGGTTGCATTTTTGCCTTTCCTTCTTACACACCACAATTAGATTGAGTCCGAGTCCAAGTCGGAGTGTCAATGTACAAGTCGAGTCCGAGTCATTGTGGGGGGAAAGAAAAATTCACGAGTCGGAGTCCAAGTCGTCGTACGCGAGAATTCACGAGTCCGAGTCGCGTCAATCAGTGCGTGAGTCCGAGTCGAGTCCGAGTCGAGTCACGAGTCCCGAAAGCTGTAGTTATCAGCCTCAATCAAACAACAATCCGTGGTACCGATGCGCGCCCTCTCTCTCTTAAGAGTAGATTTTTAAATCTACTCTTAAGACACACTTCTTCTCCCTGGCCTTCTAGTCAGAGCGGAGCACGACTCCTGACTTTTCCCTGTGTTTTTTATATATCTGTTGTAATTTATTGTCTTTTATTGTGATTGTAGTAATGTGTTTTTATTATATGTACAGCACTTTGGCTCGACCAAAAATCGCTTTTAAATGTGCTTTATAAATAAAACTTGATTTGATTTGATGTATACATTCAAAGACGAGTGTTTCAGTGTTTCAGGGTGATGTCAAACAAGATAAGATAAGATACTACAGTAATGCTAGTGGGGCTTTAAAATAGAGTTGTTCCAATACCAGTATACTGGACCAACCATCGCTGGGACATATCTATAGCCACCACACTAAAGTTGATTGAGAAAAATGATGGATAGAGTTCATTTGTGGATTTTGTTACTCATATAAAAAAAATGCACCAAGTGGTAATTGAGAATTATTGTTATTTTTTTTATCTTTTTATTTTGTATTATTTTTATTTTTTTTGTACTTTGTTATAATTATTATGAGTTAGAAGAAACAAGAAAAAAAATGATATATATATATATATTATTATTATTGTTGTATGTTTTGTTTCTGGCATGTTCAATAAACTGACTAAAAAATTTTTTAAAAAAGTACAGTTCCCTAATGCCTAGGGTGACACAGGAAGTAGTTTAATGTTGACTTGGAGCCAGTGCTACACATTGAGATTCCTTTAATCCTATATTTATTAACAAATGAACCAACAACAAGCACAGTGTTACAGCTGATGAAATTGATTGATGATCATTGAGTACGAATGTATACGTCCTCATGTAGAACATCGAAGATACTACAATGAGTGTAAAGCATAAGAGTTGTGACATTTTTAAACAAAGTGGTGCTATCTTTTCACATGATTTTCTACAGTGAGTTTATGTATTCTCCCTTATAACAATTGCATCATAAATGCAACTCAAACCTCTAATTTCTGTATCTAGCACTTAAAATGGTCTGGCTTATTGAAAGCTCATATACTTGAAAGCTATTTTGATGTTGTATCTCCATGGCAAATTGTACAGATTCCGAGTCACCTGGGATAAAAAAAAAAGTCAGTTCAATAAAATGTAATGTAGTGTCAAATCCTGAGAAAGGCATCAGACAGCACAGAATGTACACATCGTATTTAAGGAGAACCCACTTTATCATCCCTCACACTTTGCGTTGTGTTTGAGTGCTTGGCATGTCATGTTGCTGAGTGTGTGTGCTCACCTATCCAGCACTCCAGCCGGGCGCAGGGGGAGGTCTTGACCACATCAGGAGGGTCCACTCCCACGTTGAGACACAACACCAGCGCCACACTCACAGTCTTCATCTGAGGGAGGAGAAACACAACATGGTCATCACATCATTCATCTATGAGCTAATAGAAACACACCAGCAGTGATGGATAGTAACTAAGTACTTTTACTCAAGTACCGTACTTACGTAAAATGTTAATGTACTTGTACTTTACTTGAGTATTTAATTTTTTTGAATAATTTGTACTTCTACCCCACTCCAATTCAAAGGTAAATCGGGTATTTTTACTCCACTACATTTATTTCATACCATTTGTTACTTTACAGATGTGGATGAATGATGTGAAATATAATCAAGTGTTAAATCAGACTTTAGTTCCACCTGGAGTAAATCCACAAGCTACCCTGCAGTATACAAAGTCATTCAAACTAGCTGCACCTTTACCAGCTTTGATAACACTTTAATGATCAATCATTATAAAACACATCATATTATTCTGAAATGGACCAATCTGCACAATGACTACTTTTACTTCTTTAAATATATTTTGATGCTAATACTTTTGTACTCTTACTTCAGTAACATTTTTGATAGCAATACTTATAACAGAGTATTCCTACACTCTGGTACTTCTACTTAAGTACAAGATCTGAGTACTTCTCCCACCTCTCCAGACCAATCAAATCATTCTCAATTTGTATCAAAACAACATTGAATATGTTATTCATCTGAGGAACTAGGCTGAGCACACATGCTTGTATTCATTGTATAACCACACTCTGCTGCTGCTGGCCACTGAAGCTCCTGTGAGTCGTAAAAAGGTCAAGTGACTCGCCTCGGGGACACTCAACAGTAGTTACAGAGAAAAGGAGTCACTGTCTTCCCTTCCCAATCTGGTGCAGAGATGCCATTATGTCTAACACTGAGGCTGGTGTTGTTCCAATTAGGAGGCTCACCTGCAGTCCAAAAGTCTGTCAGGCTGCGAGCATGAATCTCTGGTGGCATTTCTATTTTAATATAAATGTTTTGGTCAGTATAGCCATTTTGCCATTTTAATTTAATTTAAGCAAGTGTTAGTATATTGATCATGTGTTGTGATTTTTAACAGTATTTAGGTAGAGGCTTTAAATAAGCCCAAGGGTTTTTTGCATCATCCTGCATTGTTTATCATGTGTTGTGTTACATATGTGTATTATTACATTTTGCAAAACCAATCAAACTTTTTCTAGAGAGACAGATTTCCAAGAGTGAGACAGAGGAGTTGACGTTCATAAAAAGGGACAGCAGGCCAGATTTGCGTCTGGTATGAATACCTGATGATATGAATTTAACGCAAAAAGTTGCAGATTACACCGAAGTCACAGGCAGCACGATTACAGCGAAAATTATGATTAAGATTGTTTGGATTAATATTGAGATCACAATTATTTATCACAATTATTCCCTAATTTAAGCTATAAAGTATTTTTATTGCACTTTTACATAAAAAAACACGGATCGCTGCTTTCACTTTTATGTTGGTTTGAAATCTTTGGATAAAAAAAGAGAGCCTTTAAATAAGGTTCTTCTTCACCTTCAATTTAATGCATTGACTGTACAAGTCCTGGTGGCTTTCTACGCATTTTAACGTCAATTTCACAATTGATCATATTTATTTAATTGTACATCCCTAGAAAAGTCCTGTCTTTAAATAAAATGAAGAGAGTAGAAGCATAACCGACTAAAACCAGACAAGTTAATGACCCATGACACAGAAGACCACTGAAACTGGGATGAAGGACAAACATTACATCTGAAATAAAACCATCAATTTATGAGTCATATGGCAAGTCCTGACAACCACAACCACACACGCGACTTGAATGAGGACAGTTAGGCAACATGGCGTGGGTGTCCATGCAGAAGTCTGTCGCAACCTTTGATACAACGTGACATCATCCAGCATAGATCGAGGTTGGCGATTTGAAAATACAAGACCAAATCCCTCGAAGAGTACTTCGCAATTTGAACTGTGTATTTCTAATGTAAACATGGGAATTGTCGCAACAAAGGATACAATAATTGCTGCTGAGAAAACTCTCCAGAGTTTATAACCTTGCCTCAGAGTATTATAAACAGCTTTGGAGTAATTATAGTATTTGCTCCACAAACTGGACTTCCTGGATCGTACTTTAACAAAAACTATATTTGTCCTATTTTACATACAGATACTCATTTAGAAATAGAATCACTGAACAACCCCTGTACTTTATATAGTCTTCTTTACTGCCATCGCGCTCAGTTTAGTCAAAATAAAATAAAACCATTGTAGAATGAGTTAAAATACATACTGCCTACAGTCAATGTCATATTTCCAAAGTCAAATCAATTATTTCCCGACATTTCTTATTTAGACATGAACACATTTTCTGAACACATCTATGAGTCTTAACACCCAAAAATGTACAATAGTGACAATATATCGTCTTCTAGCATTGTTTTCTTTAAAATAAAGTAGGACATATGTTGTAATAAAGTATAGAGATATTCTTTAGGTTCAGATTTTTGGTTTAGTTTGTTGTAAAAGGTAACTCAGTGGATTACCGGTGCCTCAATTTCTCCTCTCTGCCACTTTTGGCCCCAGCAGGATACTGTTTGTTGATGGCACTGCTTGACCTGAGCTGACCCGTCACTGTTGCATCACTGTGAATTTGTGAATCAAAGTCTGGTAGTGTTTACTCTGAGACCGACGGATGAACTTCAGGCCCTGCATGTCCCCTTGGCTCCAATTATCTGTAGGTCAGCTACATGCAGGGTTCTTTAAAAAGGTCTCAATGCGTTTTCGCTGCTCTTTGGTAACAGTTTTATCGAAATCTGGTCAAATCAAGGGATCAATAAAAGGACAGACGGTGGTATAAAAAGAAAATAATGATTAATTAAATAGAATTTTGAGGATTTTCGGTTAAAAAAGGTCAATAAAGACATTACTATAGCTGTATGTCTGCTTGTTACAAAGACATGCAAAGAACTATACTTATTAGGGGTGTTAATAGTTTCTAAGATGCATCGCGATGTGGACGAGGACGATTCTGAATCGATATCGTCACAGAAGATAATTGATTATAGCGTAGTAACGTTGCTTCTTGATTTTCCGGCCGCAGCTGGACAATAACGTTTTCTTTTTTTACTTTATTGAACAATTATATTAATACATTATAACAAGGCACATAAACATCAAGGTTCATTCCTTAATTCAAAAACTGAGGGCTTTACAATAAAGTTCTATAGTTCAAAAATAACTTCCTGGTAGCAACGTTGCATTAAATTGTGGGAAACCGGGGCTAGCACAAATATGGTGGAGGGAGGCGAAAATCAACAACAAGTAATAAAGAACGCACGTAGTATTTTGAAAGCGGACCTCTGGGCACATTATGGATTTTAAGAACTCAATGGGAAGCACGGACTGGACTAGACGCACGCTGTGTGTAAAGTCTGTCACACAAAAAAGCAAATTGGTCGGTGACACAGAGATCAAGGAACAGATGTGACAGCGGCAGAGCGACACCAAAAACTGAGCAGTCTATCCACCAACACAAGCAACACCAGTCCCAGAATCAGAAGATAGAATGACCCGCTCTGAATCAGTCTGGTGTCGCTGCGGCTCAGAGACACACATGGATCTATGTTTTAGAAAAACTTGCGTTAGCGTCATGTCAGGTTTTTGGTGGATTAAAAAATGAAGTCTTGGATTGCAGAGTATGAACGCCTTCTCGCTATATGAAGACGATAAATAATTGTGTAAAGATTGTGAAGGCAGCAGGAAAACTACAGCGATCACCATCATCTGCTCTCTGTTCCTCCTCACCGCCCCGGTTCAAAATGATTGTATTAGTCCATCAAGTTTATATATTCCCGAAGTGAAACCTTTGACCGGTAAGGAGATCACAAAAAGGGCAATCAATATAATAGTTCTGCAATATGTTTCTTTCTTGACAAAAATGAAAGACAGACAAACATTGCCATCCCTAGAGCTGCACTGCCAACATGAAACCCCAAAGTGCTGAATAATGTCAAAACACACACACACAACACACACACACACAACACACACACACACACACACACACACACACACACACACACACACACACACACACACACACACACACACACACACACACACACACACACACACACACACACACACACACACACACACACACACACACACACACACACACACACACACACACACACACACACACACACACACACACACACACACACACACACACACACACACACACACACACACACACACACACACACACACACACACACACACACACACACACACACACACACACACACACACACACACACACACACACACACACACACACACACACACACACACACACACACACACACACACATCGCAAACAACTGTGATGCTAGCAGGGCTTTTTTATGCTAAAAGATGTCGGCATCCTTACAATGACAATGTTAACATTTCGATGCTTAAAAAGGTATGATGACCTTATAGTGGTCCTAGATGAAAAGTGGGGGGATCACCAAAGTTATTACAATTTATCATGAGACATGAACATCCATATTACATGTTTTGGCAATCCAACGAATACATGCTCATACTCAACCAGCTGAAGAAGATGTGGTATGAGAAAGACATACACCTGTGAAAACAATGAATCCAAAACAATAAGCAATATGAAGGTACATGAATAATATCTCCATATAATTGATATAGCCCTCGCATCAACTCAAAATCAGGGGATGCCTGAGATTCAGCTGTCTCTTACCAAGTTATGGATCTCTAAAGATATCTTTAAATCGAATGATGGCTCAGGAGTTGTTTAATGAACTTTAGAAATAGGCTAAACGCCAACAATGGCCTCCCTAGTCCCCACATCTAAAACTCAGTGAGGTTTCATGGGACCTTCTGTAAAGATTTTCCCTTCCTTCAGCCTTCAAAGAAATGGAGGGTTTTCTTCAAGAAGGATCTAATGTCCCCTGACACACAGCTCAGGACCTCAGTGACAGAAAACTCAATGAAGATTGAAGATGTTAGGCATG